ATGGTTAGGTGTTGTCGGACAGGTTCTTCACTGGTTAAGAGAAAAACTGTTAGCAGGCGTTGACGGGACGGTAGTTTGGCTTTGTTGCACACAAGGAAATTCATTGTAGATGCCTTTCTCTGTTGCCAAATGGAAGCTGCTTCACAGACGTTCTGCCAAGGCCCCGAGCCATGTATGAGATGATATGAGAGGCCATGAGGGACGTCACTTCGGCAGTTCCCCTGATCTACGTAGTCAGTTGATCTTGCCGTCTCTGCGATGCGGGTTCCATGTATTCACCCTACAAGGCAGAACGGCTTTGTTTAGTTTGGTTTCTTATTTCCGTTTTGTTATGTTTCATTCTTTTCGCAATAATGCAACGGGCACGGGTATGCAAGAATCAAACACCTTCAGGCCAATAAACGGGCCGGGTTTGCGGTTGGTTTTCTCGAGAGGGATTTTTTTCCCACATTCTCCGTCTGCCCTTTATTTGTCCTGCGTACTCTGTGCACGGAGCCAACGCTCATGTCGAGAACGTATCTCGAGCACAGCATTTCTATGTTGGGGTATCTCAAGAGTAACCATCCATTTCATTTATGGTTGGAGCAACTTGAATTCACGTGGAGATTGAGGAACGTACTGAGGGCATGTTCTACAAACCCGGAGTGATGCATATGAAAGCAGCATATGTGTTCATTGATGAAGTTGGAAGGGATATACGGAAAATGGAAACCGAGGGCAACGTATGCACGCATTAGCTCGGGCTGGCTCAGGAGTTATGCTAACTCCTGTTGGGTGAATATGATGTACGGGTCGACATACCCGTGACCTGCGCGAAAGTGGCATGAGGCAGCCCCCTTCATGGAAGAAATATGCAAGGGGGCCGTTGTCCCAAAAGATAAGATACCTAGTCTTCTTGAAAACCACAATAGCTTCCAAGGCCTCGAATAACAAATAACAATCATTCTCTGGGCATGTAACCAGTTCGCTAAAGGCCAATTGGTCCCCAGACAGTATAGTATCCAAGGCATCGCGAGAACGGAATGAAACATTGCAAAAGGGGCTGTCTCCGGTGGAGCCGATCGGGAATGAGGAAGCGGGTATTCAACGGTTAATGTAACACGAGCGTGCCTCCGGTCGATATGTCAGTAAAAAGTAGAGGTCGACTAACTTACACTTGGAGCTCTGATTGTAAAAGTAAAAGCTCAACTAAAGTGCATGCCACGGAGACCTTGTAAATTCGTTTTCTGTGGCTTTTTGGAAAAGGTATGGGTATACTCCGTATTGAAGGGGGTTAGTCGAGAGCAGACCAAGACGGCTTTTTGTGACAGGTGTTGACTGAGGCTTTTGATATCTGATTTCCCTGCTTCATACAATGGCCATGATGGGCCCACGGACCTGGATCTCCTTGAGAGCAAGGGAAAGGCGAATGTCTCGGGTACTGAGGCCTTTCGGGTTATGGGTTAAGTTTGTTTTCTATCCCGGCTGCTGGATTTGGTTTAAGAGTTGTCACTTGCCACAGTGACACAGCAACGTATGTAAAAAAAACGTTTGGGCGGGTAGGGAGCCCGGCTGCGAGATTGGAGAAAGAAAAGGTACAAAACAATACAAAGGCGACCATGTGGATGTCAACACTTTCGAGACTGAGTCGTGGAAGTTGTGTATTTGTCAAAAACATGGAGTTTTAACGGCGAATCAGGAATTTGAAGTCCACATCAAGTAACCTTATTGAACATAATAATTGGTTTGAGGAGCCTCGAGCACTTCTAAGATCGAATCGCAGGTGGATAAACCCGACATATTTCTGATAGTGCAAGGGAAGGGCTGCTGACAGTCTGATTTAAAATTATTAGCCCAAGACCGAGGTCAAGAGCAGGCACACCTAGTAAAATCCGCATGAGATACGGAGTAGATGTGTGTCTCTCGGATAAGGGGAAAAAAGATACCCAACGGGATTGACAGCACGGAGTACATTACCTCGGATAACGTTGAGAGGCAAGAAAAGCAGCAATGCAAGAAAGGAGGTCTATGTTTCGCAATAGAGACAAGTAGTTGATATTTGTTTCTATTTCGAGCAAACCAATTATCAACTGTCGATCTAGCTATATGCAGCGGGTACGGTACGGAGTTGAGAGAGGTAACAACACCAAAGACAAATGTCAGAGAAAAAGAAAATAGCTGCTGTGTTCTGAGCAACTTCTTTTCAGTTTCGGGATGGGCACATACATACCAAAAGCAACGTCAGGGTCACACATAGATGTACCTTGCCTCGAAGCCGAAAGTCAGCGCTCAACGTCTTTTTATTTTTATTTTTATTGTTTTTTTTTTCTTTTTGAGCAGAGTGCGTGAAAGTAAGATGCACGGCAAAGAGGAGGCTCAAGGGTCTGTGAGGAGACTGATGATTGGAGGAAGAGTGGGCATGGGTAGTGTTATAATTGCAGCATATAGGGGGGGCAAAAAAAAACGGACGAACGGCCATTTTCCCTAACAGGAGAGTCGAATTCGAACATGGAGTCGTGTCAACTCGGCGGCAGGGTATGTTATTTGCCCTGTAATTCATAGCTTATGGTCAAGGATAAGATGGAATTCGGATTCAATGAGAGTGAAGATGGAACTGGTCTGCTAGTAGTTGGTGGACATGCACGGATTCTTGATTTTTAGACGCCCTTGAAGTTCCAAGGGGAGATACCCTGCCCCATACTCGGTCGATGCATGTAGGTACCCGTCGACGAATGGGTGGAGAGAGAGGCCCCAGCGGTATTTGTTGGCTTGGAGACGCAGTGTACGGGAGTGCTATACAGGCGTCTGCCGTCTGCCCAGTCAAGACAGACCGAGTACTTTCGAAAAGAGCATGTCCAGGTATAAATCGTTCCGTAATCAAGATCGAAGAGGGTTGCAATGGCACGCCTCTTCCTTTCTTGGATTCTCCACCGCCGTCGTGCAAAAATGCAGAGGTGCTGGCTTGTACCACGCCCAGGACAGCAGCAGATATGCAAGACATTGTTCACATACGACCTCACGACCTTTTTTTCCTTCTCTTGTCCTCCCAGAGCAACTCCGCCCACACAACGCGCCCGAGCAGGATAGAACAACCTTCTTTTCAAGCTTTAGCTTCCTAACGTACAGCTGTTAAGAGAGCCGACTCACGAACGGCCGAATTCTCAGCTGGTTCTCACCACCTGCAGGCGTCCTGCTGCCTCGCTCCCTGACTCGCCCACCCGGCCCTGAATCATGGCAATAGCGCGGCAAACTAGCTTCCCCAGAACCAGCACAGTCGCCGTCCAGCCTGGAATAAACCGCAAAAAAGAGTCGCAGGAAAAAGGAAAGGCGAGCTGGCGGGCAAAAAAAAGAAACGAAACGTAATAACTCGCTGTCTCTCTTTTTTTGCAGAAGCAACTCTTGGGATGAAGTCGAAAAGTTGCTTTGCTTTGAGGACGAGGAAAAAAAAAAAGGACGGGAAAAAGCAACGTCACGTGCAAGCAGCCCAAACACGCCCGCTTTGGGCAAGTCAAACCTCTGTCGATCATCCTCACCACCTTCACCTTCACCTTCACCTTCACTGCTGCTGCTGCGAAGAAGCCAGCAAAGCCAAAGCAGCCATCCAATAGTCGGATAGCCAGATAGTCAGGCCAGCCGGGCTGCGGTCGAGACGATCGCCTGGTTCTCTCTTCTGGCCCATATTAGTTGCTCTTACGCGGTGCCCGCTTTGTTTTTCCAGTTTCGTTGCTTTTCTCTCCCTTTGGCTTCCCTAACTCCAGCGTTGCTTTTTCGCAGCTGGCTTCTCACTAACTCACTAACTCACTAACTAACCAGCCCACGGCCAAGCTGGGCCTGGCTGAAGCAGACACGACCGACAAGATAAGGGCAGCGCGAGGAGGCAGACCGGAGGGAGAAGGGGATGTCTATTGAATTTTACTACGGAGTTCGGCCTGTGATTGATGGAGTTTACTAGTTGTTTTTGGTCCCAGAATTTGGCCTTCTTTCAGTCGCTAATCCTGGCTTGTGGCGTCGCGGTTGGCCCTCTTCGTCCGCCTCTTCCACACTGTGAGCTTGCAGAGCTGCGGCTGTTGATCGCGACTGGAGCTAGAAACCGTCGCAGCGTCGGCCCTGGGGCCTCTCGAGATAGACTTCGACACATACAATCAGCTACATATACGCTTATTTCCCGTATATCTGAACCCTCGACACGTGAGGTGCCTGGATTGTGTGGACCATAGCTACGGGAATATCCTTGTCCATATACCCAGAAGCGGTGGAAACTGCTGGCTCGTCCCTCGAGGAATGGGGCCTCCTGCCCCTCCCCCCACGGTTTATATCAACAATTATATGGTAAGAGTGGTCCCGGTTAACGTCCGTTACCTGGCGGGGAGCAAAGCAAAAAGGCTAAAGAGCAAAAAAAAAAGAGGATATTAGTCTTTGGCTAATCCAGCCGATTTGCCGTTTATCCTCTATAAGACTGTTTTTTTTACTGGGTCCTCTTCCTGGATCCTGGGAGGGTAGACCCGACTGATCAATGTTGCCTCAGCCGAGGCTCGAAGGCCTTCCGGATATCCAACCATAACTAACCACCTTGCGAAAGGGGGTGCGATTATGTTTTCCACCAAATTGATGCCATTCAGGTTGATCTATCCATTCTTGTTTGTCCTGAGGAAAGATGTTTTGTCTGAATGCAAGATGTTCGAGTCAGGTACGGAACACCAAGATATGTTAATGCCTTAGAACCCGTTTACGGAGTAATTCTGGTCTTTCTCATGTCCCTGAGGCCACACTAAATAAGCTCTTTTCGGCACACGATCCTAAACGTACGGGGGTAAAGGTTACCCTCATGAAAATGCCTAGAGCATCAGATGCTCAACCATAGCATGTTGTTATGTATACGCCAAATTCGGCTTTGAGTGGGCTAGGCCATCTCCGAAAGCTGGCTTATTGGGCCGCCCGTCCGGCCTGGCGCATAATTCCCCACTCCTACCCTGGTTAATTCCACGACCAAGTCGAAGATACCAAGAATAGCCCGGATGACTATGAAGTATCTATATATGTGGTTCCTACAGAGTCTCAATATCACCCCCTGTTCTATTGGTCCCCAAGCCTATTTTGCAAAAGTCAAGAAGGGAAAAACAAAAAGTAACAACAAACTGAATTTGAAAAATGAAAAAAAAAAAGAGAACAGTGCTGAGAAAAGAAGCAAAGAGAGGAAAAAAAAATGGAAATTGGAAAAAGAAAATATGACGCTTATCGGGAGCAAGCTAGGCACATTCATACGTTTTCCAATCTTCCTCTTGCTGTTTAGTATGTACTGAAACCCATTAGCAAGATTTAGCAAGCGAGTCCAGGCTAATTCGTTCTGGTAGTGAGCATATCTGTGGAACGGAATAATGCATTCTACCATGGGCAGTGGTCAGCTTGGATGTGAGGGAACCAGAAAGGAAAAAGGAAGGAGGTGAGGATGATATTGCAGGTTTGTTGGTGCAGATCACCCGAATATATGCTCTCACCGAGCATTTCCTTTGAGAGAGGGGAGGATCCCTAACAAGGATGTGCCTTTCCAACCAACATCAACCAGCCTGCATTTGGCTTGAACTATGCGGTGTCGAATACCTCTCGATACCTCCTTCGAAACTGCTTTCTTCCATCATTCCCATCCACCATATATCGCGGTACGTCATTGTGTCTGTCTTCAGCCTACTATTGCACCTTATTCGCGATATGCTTCAAGAGGTGTTCGCCCAGCCTTAGTTTTTGCTTTTAGCAGTGGATTTGTCGAGCTGATCTGGTTATTTCATTACTGCGCAGTACTATTACGCGTGTGGGTGCGAGACAGTGCTTTGTTTTTCTTAGCTTCCGCTGGACAAGGGCTAACTAATTCTCTAGTGGGTGATCCCCCGGACCCTTATTTTCTTTTATTCGCTACTGGTTAATGGTCACTCTGGCTTTTGAGGATAAGGGGGGGGGGGGGAGAAGAGGTGAAGGTGGCCCATATTCCCATCTGGCCCAACTGGCCATCCCTGGCTCCCTTCTTCCACTCCGTTTCTCACATCTCTCTCCACCCTCGCTGGTCCTTGATATCCCGGGTCTCCGCCATACATACAGCATACATACATGCATAGTACATACATATGACTATGTGCCCCCAAAACACTCCCGTCTGCCTTTACGTCTGGCCTTGGACGCATTTCTGGCACCTCATTCCTTTGTACACCGATGCGCTGGAATCCCCCTTCCCCCCCCCCC